GAAAAATATTCCTGCGGTGGTCCTGGTTACTTAATTCTGTAATTCAGCTCGACACTTTGGTGTTGGACCGGGCCCTCAGCCCGGATCTTGGTGGGCGATGCCCATCCGGCTCACTCTTGGCTAACTCGGATATCAACATACAGACCCCCGAGCTCGGAGTGGAGGTCTCCCAACATCTCGGCTGAGGTCGCTATAGTGGTATGCGGCTCCGAGTTTGCCTGATTTTACCTCTGCTTTTCTACTTCCCTTTGTAGTTGAATTCATTATACTTGAGTCTGGTGTATTGATGACACGAGCTGAAGCGACGCGTCCATTAATGCGATATGGTCGTTATGATTTTTGTCGGCCCTGAAAAGTCGTGCCGTTTCAGAGGCCTTTACACGTGTCAGGATCCGATTCGCCCACGCAGCGTGTCGCGTCGTTTCAGTGGGAGGGGCGGTTATAGGGCGCGTGAAGTTCATGTGGTCAAATGCGACCGTTGGATCGCTTCAATTTCACCCGTTCGATTTAAATTGCCCTTTCATTTAATTTTTAAATTTCAATCGGTGCCACATGTCATAATCTGATTTGTCGAACCCCTCTATATATATTTGTCCTCGTCTTCCCTGCGAGCTTTTACCTTTTCTGCGAATTCGAGCAATTTTCTGAGAGTTCTCAGAGCAGTTCAGCGAGGCGATTTCCAAGGTTCCCGAGGTTTTCTGCAAGTCGGCACTTAGAGTTTTCTTCGCGGTAATTCCTCTATCCTTTTTCTTTCTATTTTCCATTTCGGCATGTCGGATTCTTCTAATTCTGCGACGAATCGCTCCGGCGAGGACATTGGGCATCCGACGGCGGGGGAAACGGGGGAATTGGTGGTCTATTCTCTCCGGCGGCGGGGGCAGCGCACCTTCTCCGAGTCACGCCGATTTTCGCTATTCGGATGACTCTTGCGGCAACGGCGACGGCGGGCCTGAGCAGTGGGGGACCTCCGGAGTTCCCCACCATCGAGATTATTGACCTCGGCTCCAACCCTTCCGATAACGAGGTGGAGAAAGTAGACGTCCACCCCGGGTCTTCTCACGATGGTTCTGATGTCGACCCAGATCTGATCGATGAGACGCTGCAAGGGGATACCAGAGGCCGAGAGAGGGTCCCCATGGGCCGTGAGGATGTCGAGACCGACGCGGCTGTTGAAGCTGCAACCTCGGTTCCCCCAGGGAGTTGGTGTCGGCCCCTGCGCGTCTGGGCAACTCTATCAACGATGACTACCTGGAATGTGCCATCGATCTTGAGTGATGTCGATCTGGCACAACTGAGAGGTAAGGCGAGCTTCGGTGCCGAGGTCCATATCTTTGCCCCTTACGCCGGCGAGCGTATTCATTGCCCGTCGTTGGGGTGCATCGGAGTGTATCGCCATAGCATCAGGCTCGGCCTTTGCTTTCCCTTGCCCGACATTCTGAGCGAGATTCTGAGTGACATCGGCATCGGGATTAGCCAACTCGTGCCGACGGTCTTTGCACGGTTGGTAAGTTGATTATCTTGTTCCAGAAGCAGGGCTGGGCTGACCCCACGAGCGCCAACGTGAAATCTCTCCTCGTTTTCAAGAAAAACAGGGAGACCGACAATTATTATAGTTCGGTGGCCCCCGGGATTGACAAGTCGCTTGTCC